GTCTCCATTCTTCCCGTTTATATGTAATGTTAAGAGATCCCATCAAACCCTGGACATCTTTACAAAAAACTAAACTTTCAGCCATTTCAAAATATTGCATCAAATGTTTTTGTCTGTTACGGAAAGATGTTATAACTACACCACTTTGTAAAAGGTTCCATTGTTGCAATCTTGAACCTAAAAGTTCTGCTTTGTTCTTTGGCAATTCTAAGTCCCTTACGAGATCATTTAATTCAGCTTGTGTTATCCTGTGTGGCTGTGTTGATGTACTAGGTACCTCGTATTCTGACATTGACGAAATTGATGGTGAACTTCCCTTGATTTCATCTTCGTCGTCACCGATGTGAGGACGCTTCGGGATCGGATGAAGATCGCTGTGTGGTAGAGGACGAGTAGCTGATGGTATATTTGGATATGTTATGGCACTCTTCTTTTTTTTAGAAACACCCTTGCCTTTTCCAAATACATGAGTCGTCAGGCAGAAATAACAATCACTTACGTGATTTGTCGATTCTCGCCACTGCATTGGCACTGCAAAACGAAATGATGTTTTTTTGCCCTTCAGCCAATTTCTCAAACCTGTAGCACATGGATTACAGCAGAAATGTGGAACCCAGCTTTTATCCTGGTGTTTGATGTTCTCGTTAAAGTAGTAAAAATAGGCTTCTTTTATTATAGGCGATATACAACACCTTTGTTTATTAAATATCACCTCACCGCAGATATAACAAAAATTGTCGGGATTATTAACACATTTTCGAGACATTTTGCTATAAAATAGTATTATACTTTTTACTTTTAACACTTCTATATCGCTTAATTTAAGAGAAAATAGCACTAAATCACAATATTTCGAATATTTGATACAAACTAACTATGTAAATGTCAAAACATTATGAAGTTAAATGTGGGTAGTTCCATTAAACACGAAAGATACGATTATCGTAAAAACTCAAACTAATAAATGAATTTTAGTTATCAATCCGAATTTTGCATGGACAGAGAAGCAGAAATTAGTTTAAATTATTTCGGATACTTTTCCTTGTAGACTAGTGTTATTAATACTGTTCGCGCCTATCCACAGTGGGCGATTTGATATCCCTAGCGGCGTTAAACTAATAAGTTGTTTCTTGTCCGATCAAAATAAAACTTGGCAGGATAGAAGTTTTCATAAAAGGGAAGGTGGCTGCCAAAATTGAATGGAATCGGCTTAACCCTCTAGTGACCACGCTCACTTTTACACAGGCGTTATCGTATGAAAATTTTTAATTTGATATCTTTGTCAAAACTAAAGGTGCTTTGCTGAAATTTGTTTCCGCTTATAGAACTGAAAACCTTAATGCAAAAGTGTATACATTTTTGGAAATAAAAGTGACACCGCCTATTTGGTTTGAATTAATTTTCCTCTGGTAATAATGTATTCCTTCGTGCTGTCCACCGCATTATATTGTTATTTGTTGCGTTGGTGTTTTTTTTTTTTAAATTATCCAGGATCTGCTGAAAATAAAGCAGACTGGCAGGATCGCCATAACGAATGTTTTATTATTAAATAAAACGCGTTTTGTTTTTAGCTGCGACTTAGCATGTCGCATAACAAAATCTGTGTTGTTCTTTATTGGAATCATCTTATTTATACTCTAACATCTTATGTACTACTTATTTACTACAATACATATTTACTTAAAATTCTTACTGACTGAATCTCTCGCTTGCACATATGAGCATGCATTCATATGTGCCTAGCTCAAAGCATAGCTCAGTGAAGTCACCAACACACACACACCCATTTCTAATGTGGAGCTACAAGCAATGTATCCACAGACATATCTACATGTACCAAGCATGAAGGTGCTAGCAGCGCAGTCGTACATATTTACATACATAGAGCTAGCGCATGCACCAGATATAGCGTGTGCCGCTTGTGTGTTTAGCGTGTGAAAATAACAAAGTAAGGAATTTGTTTATGCTGCAAAAATACATAACACAGGCGTGTGGCTTTGTTGTTGTTAGTGACTTATTCTGATATACTACAAACCCTACAAGGGCCAAAATAAAACTGCGTTCTGTAGCTTGAAAATTGTGGTGTGTTTTATTTTCCTATGGAAAGAGAAAGTTTAAATATAAGTGCAAAAGATATTTCGCGGCTTACACTTTCGTGTGTCCTTGTACTCGTTCCTTTCAGAAATGAACGATTTAACTTTTCTTTAGACACATTACAATTGGTAGTGCCACCGGACTTAACTTTTATGGTAATTTAAAGCGCCACGCAGGGTCGCATTCTAAAATTCTAAAACATGTAAATTTGGTATGCAGTATTCCTTCTCAACACCGCCTGTTTTATAAATATATCTGCAAGAAAATCCATTATATATTTAGATATTTTTACAAAACAAAATTTTAAAAATTAATATTCACAGAACAAAATATCATTATTCTGAATCTGAGCTATCAGAGTCGGACAAATCTGTTTCAGGATTCTCTATTAATAGCAAGTTCATAACATCCTCGTCCAACATACTATTTCAAAAGTTCGTCTACTCCTGTTGTACGAGCAGCCAAATGTGGTTGTTGGAAAAATCTTCTTGCGTTGTTTCCGTTGTTGGTATTACCAGAACTAGGCAATGGTATGTCCACCAATAGGTCCATTTCTTTTCGTATGTTTTCCTGTATGCGTTTTTTTATTTTCTTCAACAACATTTTTGTCAGTACCGCGAACTTGCCACTTTTTTATTGGAAGCCTATAAGAAATGTGCAAGACACACTCGAAAAACCTAATCCAGGCATGAAGACTTGATAATCCATATTCAAGGAGACTATACAATCAATTGGAAAACTTTGAACCAAATTCAAGTCATTCATATTTTTTGGTGTGGCTCTGCATATTACGCATGTTTGGGAAGAAGACTCCGAGATAACGCTAAAAGTTTTTCCATCCAGCATAGTCATGTGAAACTGGTGATGAATACTTAAAGAGTTTATTTGTGTTGGTACAATATTTAAAATGTGGCTTTTAATAACGGGTGATTTTTTTGAGGTTAGGATTTTCATGCATTAGTATTTGACAGATCACGTGGGATTTCAGACATGGTGTCAAAGAGAAAGATGCTCAGTATGCTTTGAAATTTCATCATGAATAGACTTACTAACGAGCAACGCTTGCAAATCATTGAATTTTATTACCAAAATCAGTGTTCGGTTCGAAATGTGTTTCGCGCTTTACGTCCGATTTATGGTCTACATAATCGACCAAGTGAGCAAACAATTAATGCGATTGTGACCAAGTTTCGCACTCAGTTTACTTTATTGGACATTAAACCAACCACACGAATGCGTACAGTGCGTACAGAATACTGATCGATCATATTTCCTTCACAATCGCTGAATTTTTGCCTATACGTTGAGTGTCCGCTGCTGCCATCACAGCCCCATTTGTAAACGGCAGTTATATTAGTATTGTTATTTCCAGTCTGCTTTTCAAAAATTTGTGGGTACGCTTGAATGATCCTACCAACAGTATGGTCCACTAAACTTTGCGGAATAATCAGTGACTGTTATTTCACTCGGATAGCAATCTTTTTTCGCAGAGCGTAGTTTATCGTAGCCTGGGTATATATCGGCGTTTTGACTTTTCGCAGATTTCTTTGACAAATTCCACGTATATTTAGTATGACCTACATCTATAAATAACGCTAATGCTTTTTCAGCCGAATATTTTATTGGAAGGAGCGGGGGGTTTTTTTATCGATTTCATAACTTTTCCGCAAAATTTACTTTCAGAATTAAGCATGGATACAACCTTCGAAGCACTGCGTTGTCTAGCTTTGTACAAACTAGAGCTTGCAGCTACCAGCAACGCTTCGGATGATACTTCCTGTACAAGGTCAGACACTTTGTCAACTTGTGTCTTACTAGAAAGTTCTGCAAAATCTTTTTTTGGACGACCAACATCTACTTTAATTAACGATAGTGGCGTATCTAACCATTCCTGGTGTCGTTTCTCAAAATACATTTTATTTTTAGCACAACTCTTCCACCTTTCAACAAGCCTGCTATTAAATTTTCGTAGTTTCCTACCAACTTCGCAACGCTGCTGAATACTTAGGTTATTATTTTTAAGAACTGTGCCGAAAGCGTAGTTTTCGATAGCAAGAAACTTCTTCCTGGGTATTTTTTCGTCCAGCCATACTAAGTAAAAATTGCGTTTTGGTACTGAGACCATTGTGTCTAAAAAATGATAAATTGATGGGTAGTGGGTAGTAGCGGCTCAACTAAGACATTTTGAACACACAATAAAACACGCTCTCACAAAATTTTAAACTTAACTTGAATACGCTTGAATTTTATTAATTTCTAATCCACGAAATACAGGTGTAGGCTACCAATATCATGTTGTTAATACAATTAAATTCAACTGAGTTTTATAAGTAACACATACATAAATAGATCAACCAAACATATTCTACATATAGTACTTACCTTGATGTAAGCTATAAAGTAAACTTTTAAGTTAATAGGAAAAAATGTTATTATTTACAGCGAAATGAAAAGAACATTCTATAAGGCAAAAAAAAATCGTAAAGCACTTGCTAAAAAATATGTTGTGTTTGATAGGTAACAGCTGTTCGTATTTGCTTGGAAGTGGTAATTAACTATCGATTATTAACTAATTGAAGTATGCGTAATCGATAGGAAATGCAAAATTGCTGCATTATTAAACTTGAAAATTGAATAAAACGCCGCTAGCGCATCCAAATCGTCCACTGTGCTATCTGGTATCTCTTATGTACTTGTTTATTACAAACTACTGGCAACTCTGGCTTACTTGTCCTTTTTTTCCTCTCTCTAATAAATGGATTTGACATAATCGAACGTGTTTGGTTTTTTATTATAGGAAGGAATCGGCTTTACGTTTATTAAAACCCGCGAACGCTATTATGCGTTAACAAATACATATATGTATGTAATTCGATCTTAAGGTCGAAGTCGAAAATCACTTTGTGTGATTTATAGCGCTGGTTGATAATTTGAATTGTTGATTATGTCAGTTAATGTTTCAATTTTTTTTTAACACCTTGTGCATGGCTGGCTTCTGCATTCGACAACAATGTTTACGAGTATCCTTCATCGATGCAGATAAATAAATGATTTTTATATTTAAATAAATTTCATACGATTTAACCCATCATCCCACTTCTGATTTTTGCGAAAACGCATCTGTATACTATTAAACTTTAAAATAAACGTACAACCGGAGAGAATTCCGCACTAGACTTATATTACATTTACATTGGACCGAAATACGTGATTTGAAATCAGTCATCTGAAGGTGTTTACACTACTTAGTTCGCATTTCCTTTGTGTCAAAGACAAACAAAAGCTTTTGTGGAACTTGTGGAACTTTTGTTTCTGAGTGAGTTCAATAAAATAGTACGGCAATTGGAACGCATTTTCTTCGTGATTTTGTTTAAATGCGTTCAAATGCGTGATTTTAGAAATGCGAATTTGTATGGGGAAATGCGTAATTTGGTATTTGTTTTCTCCCCCAAATGACGCATTTGGGTTCAATGTAAATGTAATATTAACTTCTGGTTTCCCAGAACCTTTATTTATATATATTACATAAATTCTTACTCTAAATACATAAATTATCACTTATCCTACATACTTATTATCGGCAACTACTTGTGGCAGCAAAGTTTGTTGTTGGTTTAGGTTTCCGATAAGAAACTAAACAGCATCTGACAACACAACATAAATTACAACGGACGCTAATGCTCTGGTTACCCAGAGCCTTTATTTATAGTAAACATTACCAAACAAACGTACACTATTTTGGTAACACGCTAAACTTGGTGTTTTTTGATCCAGACCATGCTAGATTCTCTACAAATTTATTCACAATTAATTTTCGATCAGCCAACTTCATCGCAAAAAAAAAAACATAAACAAAGAAATAAATTTAGGTTTTGTATCGTCGTAAAACCTTCATTGTGAACAACCATTGGTTTTGATTATTATAAAGCAATTTCCAAATTGCCACGAATGTTCTTGATTGTTTAAGATACGATGCCTCAATCGACTTTGGTTCCTCTTCTTCTTCTTCTTAATTGGCGCTATAACTACCTAAGCAATTTTGGCCGAGTTCAAAAGAACAATTAGTTTTTTTTTTTAAATTTATTCTTGTTTTTCAATCATTGTAAAAGGATAGTTCTTCTCTTATGCTTTAGAATCTTCAACTAAAAGTTGCAGGGTATTCGCGTTTCCGTGACTACTGAGATGGATTAATTGAAAGAGGTGAATTTTCGGTTTAAAATTGTCAAAAAATGGGTATTCAATTCAAAGTACGTAATTCGCCACTACAAAGTTTGGCAGAAATTGAGGAAATTGATAAATTAAAATTAGAAGGTTAAACTAGGCGCCAATCTGGATGATGGAAGCCAAATCTTGAAAGTCAGCAGGTTAGATCTTTATAAAAAAAAATTCGTCTTTAACTCTGACTATCATAAAATACTAACAGTAATTTAACAAACACAATTTACAAAAGACACTGATGATCCGCGGTTGCTTAAAATCTCGTATCTATCATAGATTCGTTGATATCATCGAAAAGTACATATACTATAGTTAAGTGCAATTAAATAACACTGGTCTACAAATTTCAACTTTTTTTCTGCGAATAAGACGGGACCTGGTGTTTCTGAACGGATTTTTCGTGCTGAACACGAATCCGGGGTCAAAAATGTCCCATCACGTCACGTTTTCGAGAAAAAAGGGGTTGAAACCCCTAAAAACAGCGTTTTTGGCCATTTTCGAAAAATTATAGAGCTGAACCCTGACGTGGTACAAATTTTGCATATATCAGAAATTAAAGGCTAAACCGTGCCCTTTCGAATGAGCCCTATGCCGAATTGATCGCGTGCACCCTTAAAGCAGGGGGTGTATTTGTGTTTAGGGGTGCAGGAAAAATTGATCACAGAAAGAATTTAATCTTAAACGATCATAGAAAATTAATAATGCCAAGGTTTTAACTATATTAAAAGTCGCTGATTACGAATCTGCAGTTAGATTTTAAAAATTTAAGATGACGGGTCGAATATGGTGGATATAAAAATTGGACTCCTAGACACAAATACACCCCCTGATCTAAGGGTGCATGCGATTAATTCGGCATAGGGCTCATTCGAAAGGGCACGATTTAGCCTTTAATTTCTGACATATACAAAGTTTGTAGCACGTCAGGGTTCAGCTCTACAATTTTTCAAAAATGGCCAAAAACGCTGTTTTTAGGGGTTTCAACCCCTTTTTTCTCGAAAACGTGACGTGATGGGAAGTTTTGGACCCCAGATTCGTGTTCAGCACGAAAAATCCGTTCGGAAACACCAGGTCCCGTCTTATTCGCAAAACCCTTGTAGACCAGTGTAATTAACAACGATACCAGACCAAGCAATAGTAGGCTGAGTTGTAAAATAGCAATTTACTTAAAAAAAAAAAAACAAATAAAATATTTTGTAGCAAAACTATTGTTGTCGATTACCGCTTGACACCTGCGTGGCATTGACTCCACTGTAAGAAGCCCAGTCAAAAACAGTCATCAAATTGTCTTGAAAGCACTGCTTTGTACGTCGAGCTGTGTTTCGGATCGTTATCATGCTGAAACATCCATATTACGGGCATGTTAGCTTCGGCAAATGGTAAGATGATTAGGTCGTTCATAATTGCTACGTACAGGAACCAATCCATACGTCGCATCAATTTTGTGTATAGGCCCAACGCCTCGCCATGACTTGCCTGCCCCCACATACTTCAGTGTTGGTGTTGTGTACTTACCTATCCAACTCTTTGCGTTTTGTGAGCCTAACATTATTTTTTGCATCCGACAAAACTCTGCTAATCTTTGTTTGGTCAAAAAAAAAATAATACATTTTTCCACTCGCTTGGTGTCTTNTTGCCTGCCCCCACATACTTCAGTGTTGGTGTTGTGTACTTACCTATCCAACTCTTT